ACATATTGACATGCTCTATGATCCTGGGGCAGCACATTCAGTCATGGGCAGGAAATTTTGGGAAGAAATTGGCGAACCGAAATTGGAAAAAACAAAGAACTTGATTGCATACACAGATGTCGAGATTCAGACATTGGGTGTTCTTAAAGTGAATGTAGCTGCTTTCGGGTGTGAAAAACGTTTGCCTCTATACATCGTTGAAAAGAATGATATTCCATTGTTTGGTTTAGATTGGTGCTTGGCATTCAAACTACCATTACCACCTGGATCAAAGTTGTGTACACTGAAAACAATTGTTAATACGACCAATGATACAATACAGCTAACGAACGATGGTTCAGATACCAAATTGATCATTGAAAATAAAATAAAACAGATGCTAAATGAATATGCGGATATTTTCGAAAACCGCATTGGTACCATTGCAAGCCATACAGCTAAAATACATATCCCAAACAACGTTACACCAAAAGCATTCAGAGCTAGGCCAGTTCCGATTGCACTGCAAAGCCAAGTTACTGCCGAAATACAACGTCTCTTAAAAGAAGATGTGTTGGAACCTGTGGACGCCACACTAACTCCTATAGAATGGGCATCACCCATTGTGGTAGTCGTGAAATCGAATGGTAGTATCCGCATCTGTGGAGACTTCAATGTCACAATAAACCCTCACGTACAAATTGACGACTATCCACTGCCTAGATTCGAAGAGATCACCTCGAAGTTATGTGGTGGTACTCACTTCTCCAAGATCGATTTGAAAGACGCTTATCTTCAACTTCCAGTTCACCAAGATTCTCGTAAATATCTGGTAATTTCAACTCATCGAGGTTATTTCACATACAAAAAATTACCTTTTGGAGTTTCGTTCGCACCATCTCATTTTCAACGGACTATGGATCAGCTATTGAGTGGAATAGATGGTGTAGTCTGCTATCTAGACGATATCCTCATAACAGCTCCTTCGTCACAGTTACATCTATCTCGTGTACAGCAGGTCCTTCAACGTTTACAAACAGCAGGCATAACAACTCAAAGATCTAAGTGTGCATGGTTTCAAGAGAGTGTAATATACTTGGGACATCGTATAGACCAAGAGGGTTTGCATCCAACCAGAGAGCGCATCCAAGCTATCAGGGACATGCCTGTTCCTAAAAATGTCTCAGAGTTGAGATCATTCCTAGGATCCATTACATACTATGGGCGTTTCATACAGAACTTGCATAGTATATGTTCACCCTTACATCGTTTATTGAGAAAAAACTCCAAATGGGAATGGAACTCTAATGACAATCGAATTTTTAGCGAACTCACAAATATTCTCTCTTCTAATGATACCCTAGTCCATTACAGCATGGATTTACCCTTATATGTATCTAGTGATGCTTCAGATAAAGGTGCAGGTGCTGTACTTTCTCATAAATTTCCAGATGGATTTTTACGTCCAATAGCATTTGTTTCACGGTCATGGTCTGATGTTGAGAGTAGATACAGCACCATCGACAAGGAGGCTTTAGGTATTATATATGCGGTGACAAAATTTCATCAGTATTTATATGGCAGACATTTTACACTGTTGACAGACCACAAACCACTTCAATATATATTCAGTGAACATAGGAATACCCCTAAAGTGGCAAGCAATCGCCTTCTTCGATGGGCGATCATTCTGAGTTCTTATAATTATACAATTGCTTACCATCCTGCAAAGGATAATGCCCCAGCAGATTTACTGTCTCGTTTGCCACTCAGCGATACAAACATCACCCCGAACGAGGAGACAGGAATCCCAAAGCGTGGGCATCTGTTACATCTTCGATTGCATCATCTACCTGTTACCAAGAAACTTTTGAAGAAGAAAATAGAAGAAGATGCGATTTTTCGACAAATATGCAAACATATGGAGTTAGGATGGCCACAGAAGAAATACGTACCAATTGATCTACTTCCATTTTACGAGAAACGAGATGAATTATCGTTTGAAGAAGGTATTTTACTATGGAAAGGCCGAATTTGCATACCAAAAGACTTACGAACAGAGGTACTACACATGCTTCATGACGGGCATCCAGGTATCAATGCTATGCAGTCCTTAGCGAGGATTCATGTTTATTGGCCGAAGATAGATCAGTGTATCATCGATTTCGTTAAAGAATGCGCTCCATGCCAAGAATCACGATAAAATGAACAGAGATTACCACTGTATCCATGGGCTGCTCCAGCCGAACCATGGGCCAGAATTCACATAGATTTTGCAGGCCCTTTCCAGGGAAAGATGTGGCTAATAGTTGTCGATGCTTATTCTAGATGGCTTGAAGTGATTCCAGTAAATAATACCACCACAGCAACAACGATAACAGCTCTTTGTGACATTTTTGCCCGTTTCGGATTAGTGAAAATCATTGTTTCTGACAACGGCCCACAGTTCATCTCAGAGGAGTTCGCCACTTTTTGTCGAGACAATGGCATCAGCCACGTAAAAGTTACACCATACCATCCAAGATCGAATGGATTGGCAGAGCGTATGGTCAAAACTTTTAAGGACAGAATGAGCGTGATAGACGAACCTGACCAGCACAAACGTTTGAACAATTTCTTATTGTCATACAGAAATGCAGTCCAACGTTCGACAGATAGGAGTCCCAGCGAATTGATGTTTGGTAGGAGGCTCAGGGGTATCTTCGACCAACTCAAACCTGATATACAGAGAAACATGGAACATTCAAAGTTGAATCAAGCAAAAACATACGACCGAGGCACTAAGGAGCGCTATTATGAACAGGATGAACTTGTCTGGGTAAACAACCCTCTGAAGAGAGGTTCTATCCCTGGAAAGGTGATCGACCAAACAGCGCCTTACTCCTACATCGTTGAGGTAGGGGGAGTACATAAGAGAAAACATGCAGACCAACTACGACCTCGCCAGAATCAAAATGACGCTCCTTCAAATAATGATATTGAATTGATGGCTAGGCCAAGTCAATTCCCAGATATCACTGCATCCTGTAGCGATGTTGTGTCTTCCCCTAGAATGAGTCAATCACCAGATGGCAGTGCATTCAAGAGCGATGCTTTGTCTTCTCCTGTACATGATATAACAATCCCAAATAACGAAGATGAGTCGGAAACTGAACGAAACCTGATTCCACTGGTGGGTATTACCGAAGATCAAGGACCTCAGGCTAGCCAGGTGCCGATTCCAACGCCAAGGCGAAATCCTCCAAGGCATCGAGTGGTACCTGCCCGTTTTCGTGTCGACATATGAGAAATACCTGCATTTGTTGGAGGGAGACGAAATGTAGTATCACTCTCTATATAGTTCAGTCATCAGAGTTTCAACCAAGTCGGCCAAGGGATGGTCTGACAAGCGATGACGGGGATTTGGCAGTTTGATAGACAGATCTTGAATAGTCAGAGACTTTCTATGTTGTTATGTTCTTATATAGTTCATTGATTCAAATAAACGTTTAAACTACTCTATTACGACAATATTCTCCTTCACCGCCCTATAATTCTCCACATCCGAATAATCCTCCTCCACCTCCAAATGATCTTCCACCTCGATAATCCTCCACCGTCAAATAATCTATCTCCATCGCTGAATAATTCTTAACGTCCAAATAATCCTCTTCCTTCCCCAAATGATCTTCCTCCACCGCCTATCAATAATCCTGCTCCTTCGTTAAACAACTCATATCCACCGCCGAATAATCCTCCACCTCCTTCTAGAGGTCATCCATCATATGGACAATATATCGGGACTTATGAACAGAATCGAGATTTTGATGTCCATCTTGTGCCAGCAAAGTTGTGAGTACCTATTTCTTAATTCCACAATTATCACCCTGCATTGCTAAATATTCACAGTATCAAGATTTATGGGGCTTATTTTTCAGATCAAAATAAGACTTTCTCCTTATAGCTTCAAATTTTCGAGATATTGAAATTGAATCTTGAAACATAATACATAGGATTCATATTAAGTTCACATCATACATAGTCGAATTATTGCGAGAATCTACAGGGGAAGGAAAATGATAGGACTAACGAACCATTAATTTTTATAGAAGGTGCTGGAAAGTAAAGATATCATTCAGCCTTAACCCTCTGTATATCGGTAAAGAGGGGTTTGCGGACACATATTCATAGAAAAAAGTATGTATTATTCTGAACAGAAAAATAGGTCCCTTAAATCTTGATACTAAATCTTGAAACACCCCCTATATTTTTTATTTCAGTCTACGACATACGACAGCTTTCCACCCTCAGGATATAGCAGAAGATTACTCTGGTAGTGGCGTTTTCAGTGGTCCTCCCACTTCCGGTGCGAGAAAATTGTGCTTTTTCTGTGAAATTTATTATCGATCATAACCCTTGCAACTTATTATTGATGAAATATATTGAATTTTTATCATGTACATTTGTTTGTTGAATTCCATTTGTCTAACAAATGTTTTATTGAATACAAAATATCATACTGGCCTCGTTTTAATTGTTGACTGACGTGTAGAATTTAATTGTCACAATGAGAATTTACTTTTAATCTCGAAGCAATGCAAAGTATATTATCAGTTCACTTCAAATATTTTCAATGATTGAGCTATTTATAAACCTATTATGAGATTTGGTTTACTGTTGGACCGGCAACCGGTCGAATAGACACTGCCATTTCACAGGATATCGCGTTACTAGCCACAGCAAAAATGTGAAAATGTGAAACTTCAAACTTCAAGTTGGTTGTTGATTTCATATTTCATAACATAACCCCATTTCGAATCTGCAAAAAATACTGCAATTTAAGATAATTATCAATCTCTGTTTTCCAAACACTGGAAGAAATGGCTTTGATGTGATTCACAAAAAAACGAAACGACTTAATGATATTGGATTTGCACAACTGAACATTGAATCAATGAAAGAATCAAGAACTAACAAGAGGATTCACAAATTTGATGACGAAAAAGGCAAGTTAAATAAGAGCAGACGAAAAACAACTAAGAATGTGGTCCAAGTATGATGAGATGTTGCTGCAGAATCCATTTTTCATGGAAATTCAGGAGCACCATAAGGATATCCTCGAAAAATCGTCCAGGGAAAACTGGACAATCTGTGTACCTCGAATGGGAACTTTCGAATTGGAAGATGTCACAGTGGAAGCAATTTTAGACCATATACTAATTCCAGAAGATGAAGATAATATGTACCATACCCTGAGCAAAAAAAACATTCAAGTACAAAACAGACATATTACTAAGCATTCTAGTCATGACAGCATCTGTGATAGCATTGAAATATTATTTGAAGAAACTTTTTATGTACAGAAGAAATCAAAGTACAAGGTGTGGTGTATAGAATGCCCATTATTTTGGAACCACAAAAATTCACATACACAGTCAATAAAGATTATTGGAGACCTGCGTGACTGCTTGGATTTCTTATGGTGTGAAAGTCTAGGACACACTATCTTAGATGGAATCAAGAATACAGTGCTAAACTCAGCAGCTGAATCACAGACTATTGAAGCAGAAGACCTGCAAACCCAGAAAGAGTTTATTGGCATCTTATTCTCACAGTGTCTACAAGTTGGTATGAAGAATGAGATTATAAGTGATAAAGTAGTAGACAATCTATTTTTCGAGAATTTCAAGCTAGCAGTGGAAACTTATATGCAATATTGCCTTGGCAGGAAGCTAATCTATAGTATAGGTTCTGCTTGTCATCAGGCTGATTCACATCTGACAAAAATTATTAAAAACTCTAATCACCTACATTATCAAGATTTAGGCATCTCATGCAAGTTTCTGAATATTATAACTGCAGCAAAGTCTGAACTGAGTAGGATAAATAATTATTTCACTGCATTAGAAAAAATCAACTGCCTTAGAAAAACATTTCAAATTTTTCAGGAAGGAGGTTCAGCTATAGCCCATATCACATCAGATCACATACTACCAGTCCTAGTTTTTTTAATTCTCAAATTGAATATCAACAATTGGGTAGCCAATTTATTGTATTTGAAGGAATTCAGATTGTCCTCTTTGAAAAATCCTGATCATATCAGTTTTGTCATTTCGTCATTGGAAGCTGCTGTTGAGTTCATTAAAAGTTCAGAGTTCTTACATTTGAAAAAAGGTCTAGAACAAACCACCAATTGTAATAATCCAAAACTCAAACTTATTGTTGATGGTATCAAATCAGGACAGGTGAATTTATTTATAAACCATAAATCCCTAATGCCAGAGATTCCCAAGCAATGTCACCCCTTATGCCTTTGTACCACATGTCAGGAAAAAGAAAAAGAGGAATCAAGCAAAAATCTTGACCCTCTATGTCACCAAAGTTTGCTTATATCTGCCACTCTTTCAGGAGATTCTGAAGTTGTTGATTTTTTATTAAATCAAGGTGTAGATCCTAATGAAACAGATAGTTCTGGTAAAACTTGTGTACATTACACTGTTAGTAGAGGGCACCAAAGTATATTACTGCTTTTATTGAACTTTTCAGTTAATCTCAATGCAATTGACAATGATGGAAATTCACCTCTCCATCTTGCTTGTTTGAATGGCCAAGAAAATTGTGTTAAAGCTCTGATTTATTCTTCTAAAATCAACATAGACTGTTGCAATGCTCTAGGGGAGACTCCACTTCATTTAGCAACCATTTGTGGTTATTATGAGATTGTGAAAATCTTGCTAGAGAATGGAGCTTCACCTTTTGTCAAAAATAAAAGAAACCAAGCACCTCTAGATGTTGTTCCTGATTATTACATAAAGGAAATGTTTCGAAAGAGTATTTCAAATCATAGAGTTTCACCAGAGGAGTTCAGGAAAGTTGACAAGAATGATTCAATCTCGCAACCTGCACCAATTGAAGAAAAAATAGAGAATTTCAGGAAAATTGATCTTCTATTGAAAGCTATTGAAAGTAATGATTTACCACTTACTAATTTCTATCTGGGTTTTCATTCCAACTCAAAGATACAGAAATATGATTGTTGTCATCCCTTATGCACCTGTAACAACTGTAAAAGAAATACTGAGGAACACTTTTTCGAAACTGATATAGAATCTATGAATATCAATATTTGTGATATGAATGGCTACACCCCATTGCATGTAGCTGCTAAATTTGGCAGAACAGAAATTTTGAGGTTGCTTTTGGATTCTGGAGCTTTAGTTGATGTGAAAACCAATAACCTTCATACCCCATTACATTTAGCTTGTATCAATAATCGTACTCAAATAGTCAAGGAATTATTGAAATGTGGCGATTGTAAAGTAGATGAACTAGATACTGAAGGCAACACTTCACTTTTTTATGCATGTGAAAACAATAACATGGAAATTGTGAAAATGTTGCTGCTTAGCGGTGCAGACTGTAATATCAGGAACAATGCTGGCAAAAGTGCTTTCCAACATTGTGAGGAAAATATGCAATATAGGTTAATGAAAATCTTGAATAGCAATATGAATAGTAGTATAGTTGACTGGGATACCAGTGGTAGCACTGATGCCTCTGATTACATTTGATTTCATGTTCGGAAATGTCATGTTATATGATGAATATTTTTCTCAAAAAAACCTCGAAAAAAACTGTTTGGTCAGGGAGTTGTCCCCGATACGTTGATGGCGTCATCCAACTGTGTTCATTACCGTACTAATTTAGGCTTTTAAGATTGAAAATTCTAGGTTTTATGCGTCCATAATGTATCACGGGATTCATTGTGACCAATGTGAAGATGAGATTTGGGTCATTCGTTGATGACCATCTGGATACAGCATATTATTCATTAAGTTGCTCCAGAAAATGAATGAAGAATATGGCGGGAGCATATTCAAATATTAGTTTATCTTTGTTGTGATGTAAGCATTTTGAAAATAAATTGAAAAGGATAAAAAATGCCGGTAGGTTGACCTATGAGGTGGATTAATAATAATTATTTCCCTAGATTTTTGATTCTTGCTCTTCGTTCTCTGTAGTAAATGAAAATATAATAGTTGTTCATTGTACAAGGGAAAAAAATTGTAAATTTTAGTTCGAGGTTGTGTTGTCTCCCAACGCGAAATGGATGCAGACAAAAACCGAGCAGAAACCGTGAGTAAAATCTAATATTTTTCCAGTGTATAGTACACTATTTTTTTTCCTGTGACAGGACAAAGGACTAATCGATATTGATAAGATATCACATTATATTGAAATCATAAAATTATCGACGTGAAATTTGAAGATTTTGCAGGCACCTTCATCATTCTTTTGAAGTAATCAAATATCTGTCAGTCTGAGAATTCTGTGATTGGATCTTAAAAAATTGCTAATAGTCCAATAAATGAAGGAGGAAAAAAGGCAAAGTTAACGTTAATTCCGCACTATTTTCATCTTCCGGTCGGAAGAAGCTTTTGGTACCTCATTAAACATGAGACTAAGTTTTACTGGAAAACGCGTGCGATGGCGGAGAAAATGGCCCCAAAAGACCAGGAAAATAGGTTTTCAGCCAATATCTCCTAAAATATGGCAGTTAGAGATATTCGGTTCAGATAAAAATTGAAGTTCAGATATTTTTCTACAAAAATGGTCCTTATCATTTTTCTCGAAAATTTGCCCGGTTTCGAGAAAAACGGCACGAAGCGCACCTCGAATAATGAGCTTCTGTTGTATGCCGGAGAGCACAGTCCGTGTATTTACACATCGGCGGGGGGACAAATTATTCAATAACTTTGTTAAAAATGCATCTTTTCTCATGATTCAAAGTTCATGTGAAAGAGGAATTCTGCTGCTATCATACCCTGCGTGGCCGCATGGTTTGTAGCAGACGACCCGAGCGCCACGTAGAGCACACACGCGGCGAACGACGGAGGAACGAAAGTAATGAATTATAGCGTGTACATCTAGATTTACTGGTTTTTTTCCGTGATATCAGAGGTATGACTTATATACATCGATGGAAAGGTGGGAATTCCCCCGTTACACTAGTCGAGGTGTTAAAATGTTAGAATTAAAGAGCACGGAGAAAAAAAACACCGAAAAAAAAAAGTGCGTTTTTTCCCTGACCCCGCTTTTTCTAATTTTGTTGAAAAATGGACGACTTCGTCTAAAAAAGTAATTGCACAATCGAAAAGTAGACCTTCTCAGCCTTCAAATGATGTATCATAGAAACCAATCGGATCATGTATAAATTTTTAATTGATGGTTGTTCACAATATTTCCCCGCGCTCCAAAAACAGCAAAAAATTGGGATTCAATAAACAAAGATTAAATGAAAATTAAAAAAATTAGGGTATACAAATTTCAGGGATGACAAAGGACCTTATGAGGACCCATAATCAAGAAAATTTTGAGTAAATAAGTGCAATACAAAAAAAATAGGAACAAATTCCTGGCGAGGTCAAAATTGACCGGGAGCAGAAAGTTTGACCCATGTTCCGATATGGCCAAAAGAGTCAAGCGTGACTCAATCCACAGGGTATGATAGCAGCAGAATTCCTCTTTCACATGAACTTTGAATCATGAGAAAATATGCATAAAAATGATAAGGACCATTTTTGTAGAAAATTAACTGAACTTCAATTTTCATTTGAACCGAGAATCTCTAACTGCAATATTTTAGGAGATATTGGCTGAAAACCTATTTTTCTGGTCTTTTGGGGCCATTTACTCCGCCATCGCACGCGTTTTCCAGTCAAACTTTGTCTCATGTTTAATGAGGTACCAAAAGCTACTTTCAAGCGGAAGATGAAAATAGTGCGTGGTTAATGTTAACTTTTTCCCTTTATTTATTGGACTATAACTTAGTGGTTGTTTAGTAATTTAAGTAACCGCGAAGTAGAATGGAAGATAAAAGGAGTTGCAGTTCTTTCTGGGAGACGGTGTTATATTGGCTTATTTTTCGGAACCAGCACAACAAAAGCCATCAACAGTGTATATATACAGTGTGACCCACTTCTAATGGAAACACCCCTGTATCTTACGTAATCGTTGGGTAAGGATCCTGAAATTTGCTGGAGCGAGAAATATACCAAAAATGCACTCTATGACCAAGTGGGGTCATCTTCAGTGATATACACTGCTCACCAGCAGCAATGGAACCACCCCAATTTCCGGAAAATGATATTAGGAGTCAAAATAGGTCGAAAATCACTTCAGATTCGGAATCAGGGCACCCAATTCACTAACTTTATATTTTTCCTGGGAATTTTTCAGTTCTGAAAAATTAAATTGTGTCGCACTTTTCACGGAAGCACCCCCGTATCTTACGTTATTGACTTCATCTTTAGATTTTTCCTTCCTTCTGCAAATTCCAGAACCCTACCTCTAAAATTACGTGAGATACGGAGGCGCTTTCATGAGAAGTGAGACAAAATTTAATTTTTCTGAACTGAAAATTTTCTAGGAAAATCATGATTAGATAGTGAATTGGGCGTCCTGATTCCGAATCCGACGTGATTTCCATCCTATTTTGACTCCTAATATCATTTTCCGGAAATTGTAGTGGTTCCATAGCTGTTGGCAAGCAGTGTATATCACTGAAGATGACCCCACTTGGTCATAGAGTGCATTTTTGGTATATCTCCGGCTCTAGCAAATTTCAGGATCCTTATACCCAACGATTACGTAAGATACAGTGGGTCACACTGTATGTATCCGGGAAAAAGTACTTACTTTTTAATAAAAAGTGTAATTTTATAACCTGTCTACAGAGATGAAGTGTCATACTTTTTTCCCGTCACAGACAAAAGTATCATTTCAATATATCTGTAGTGAGGAAAAATCAGATTATTGACCCCAAAATCTCACTACGCTTTTTGAAAGATGTTCAAAGAAGAAAATAATATAGATGTTGTGAAAAATTATCAGATTTCTCTAGATGTTTCGGGAATGAATCTGCTTCCGTTTTCTACCTTAATTCACAAAAATTTGTGGAATATCTTATCTCGTTTCCTATTCTTTAAAAACACTAATTTTTGTTTCCTTCAAATATTTTTCAATGAAGGTGGCAATGACTATCGATAAATGAGCCGTTCCCGAGGTGATTGAGAAAAAACGAAATAGTCTATTTGTGTAACTTTTTTATTGAAAACTTTATCATTTTGTGATCACCTAATGTCAATGTCAATTTTGATTACCGATTTCATTCAAACTACTTGAAACCTTGCAAAGCAACAAAGATTTTCTGCTTAGGTAGATAAAGTACACCTTTGCTGCCTGTTAAGAGTCAAATAAACGCCACATTCTATGTCGTTTGGAGAAAAAAAATCATTTTTACTGTATACAAGGGGATATTCCTTTAAACAAGATATCAATAATAGTTCATATGAATATTGGTCCGGAAAAGCTTCATTTCCGAGATACAGGGTGTCCAAGTTTTACAAAAAAGTGACTTTTTTATTAATATCTTGAAAAGGTTTAAGCCGATTCGAATGAAATGTTTATGATTCATTTACATAATTAGATTTTATCCATAATTTCCAGGAGAGTACTCAAGGAGCAAGTCGGCTTTTTCTGTAGAAAACAGGGACCCTATATTTTTTTTTGTTTTTCTCAATTATTCAGGTGAACCCACTGAAAATACAACATTTCAGCATTCTGCTTATTCTCCGTATCTTGTATTGGCGAATTGCACATTATTATTTATGAAAACAAAAAAGACATAGAATATTCAATACTCTCTCTGAAATGTATTTTGTGAAAAATATTTATATCAATGAAAAACTCTTTTTTTTCAAACTTGGATACCCTATATCTCAGAAACAAAGCATTTTCGGACCCATAATCACAACTCTGAAACACCCTGTGTATATATATTTCGGTGAGCACAAAAAAACACAGATTCAGAAAAAAATTGAAAAAACAGGGTGTTCTATTGAAAAATAATAATTTGTGATTTGTCACGCTTTGAGGGACCACCCTGTTAAACTTCTGAAGAGAGCTGTGAAAATGCCACTTTGCGGCCTTCATCTTCTGCATATTGTTTTTTTCCTCTGCAAAAAATAACGAAAATATAGGCGTGGGCCTTTTTAATGGATAACCCTGTACACAAGATAAGTATTCTGAACTCAACAACCTGTAATTCGAGCTATAATGGGACTATTTTCCTTATTGCAGAAGATCATTTTTACTCCTTACTTTTAGTGCAATTGAAGATCAAATGCCCACATGGTATTTAGATTCAAAATCACTTATTGAATATAATAAAATATGATCTTGTTCGAGACACATTCTTCTTTATATTTGGCGCTCAGTATATGACAATAACTCTAGTGAAAAACATTTCCTTAGAAATATCATCAACATGTATGATTATCCAACTGATATCACGAAATGATACTTATTGATATTTCGATATTTATCGATATATCGATATTTTTTCTCAGGCCTAGTATAAATAACGACCTATCTATATCTATACAGGGTGTCTGTAAAAGGTTGGGACATGGCTCGGCTGTGGACTCCTGGGATAAGAACAAGTTTTTATGAGCCAAATTATTTTTTCCAAAAAAACTTCAACGCCTTGTACTAAGTCAACGAGACGATT